CTGTTTTTGCTTGGATAATCAGTCGGTGGTCTGTGTTCTGGGTGGTGGATTTGAAGATTTGGTTTTGACTGCTGAAGCTCCACTACTCCTGATGTTATACATGGTCTACTGTCTGGCCTTATGACTTGGAGATGCCAGTCTTCATAGTTGTACCATTGCTCTGGTTGATCACTGCTCGTGCCCATGATATGTCATTGGAAAAAAACTATCAATTTGAGATCAGCAATACATTTCATTTTCCTTGTGATTGGTACCAATGATCAAATGTTACTAATCCACCAATGCTGGACGCCGGATTGCAGAGCACGGTGATTGAGCGGCGTGGTTTGTATTGCTGCGTCTAGGTTCCTCAGGAAAGCAAATTTTGGGAAAACTGGATGCAGTGTAAGGAAATAGGCACATGATCGACTACGTGTGTTGGTGACATGTGTGGGAATTCCGAGGAAGAATTGAGCCTCAACTATTATAGAAACCAATGAGCGTTTCCCTCAATTATTGAGGGAGCGCTCATTGGTTTCTATACACTACTAAGCTAATTCGTATGAAAACTTGTATAATTAGTGAAAGAACTCCTGAGCTCAGCTGAGGAAAGCGAGCATTTATTCCCACAGACTGGGTGGCAGTGCTATTCACCAGCCCAGGTGGCGTTTCCCAATCACTGCTGGTCCGAACCTTATTAGCGAGCCGAAGTTACAACGGTTAGAATGGAATCTATTCAAGATTTGTCGGTCATCAACTAACCTGTATTGAGTCGAGATTCATCCGATCGTTATGCAGTCCGTCCAACGTATCACAGTTATTAACTGTCAGTTAACCAGTGAACTACCACTAGTAGTGATTCACTACAGCCTCATTGATACGGGTTGATATATAGATATTTGGTATAATGAGGTATTGTATACAGCACCAGGAAGATCATCCTGGTTCACACTGAACTTCACAGGCTGTGAGAATAAGTCATTCCGAATTGTCTTGTTTGACAATGCGCAAGTCGGTTCCGAGGAGCCCCCTCGGAGGAGGCTACTGTTGTGAGACCTCGGATTAGCGCTGCTTATCGAGCAACTATTCCACAACCCAACAAAATACCAATTAGGTAATCATTAATGAAATCAGATGTAAGAAGACGGAGCCTGCTCTTGTCTGTAACGATGTTACATCCGTGACTACAGAGAGCGAGAATCATAGCACCATTAGTGCTGCATTCGGGTTCGCTGCACTACCTATCGCTAACGCGAACAGAAGAAAATCCAGGACGCTCGGAACACAGAATCTGTGTCACAGATGTAAGAAGCTGCAATATAATGCAGAGAACCTCAAGTGAACTGGTTCAAGATAGTTGTCGATTAAAGCATATTCCTGGCCTGAGCCCTAATCATTACCCCACAATATGCAATACTCATAAGGAGAGACTGATCAACAAAGCGACGTAACGTTGATAATCAAGGACTTACAGGACTGAAAAGTGACTTAGTACTCGGAGAGGAATCAGAAATCCTCGCCAAGCACTCAACTATTCGAAGACTGGGTGTTCTTTCTTAAGCGTATAGCCGGCGAGCCCAGAGCTATTTGGACTGCGTTGTAGGCATTTATTAACCCGATATCAGATAGCCCGAACTTATTCGGTAAACCATCGGTCCGAGACTTGATAATAGTGTCCGTTACTTCCTGGCTACCTAGACCGAGCGTACCCAGCAAAGCCGTGACACCGGCAACCGTAGGAGTCGACATCGATGTACCAGTCATATAACCATAGAGCCCGTCTGGCATAGTTGAATAAATATCAACACCGGGTGCGGCAACCTTCGTTACAGAACCAGCATTCGAGAAAGAGGCGAGAGAGATAGTTTCGGTTGGATCGGAGGTACTGGCGGCCACACAGAGCATTGGTGACGTTTCGGTCGCGTAGGAGCACGGATATTGCGGCACCTCTTCCAAATTGATCTCGTCGTTTCCAGCCGCAGCAACAGCCAAATGCCCAGCAGCAGCGGCGTTCTTGTATGCGGTCTTCCCGATTTCACTCCCAACATATGAGCCGTAGGAGTGAGAGGAGACTGCTGCACCGTTCTGAACCGCGAAGTTGAGGGCTCTCAGTCCGTCACTCGAATAGCCGCTTCCGGAGGCATCAAGGAACTTGAGTATCATCAGCTTGACTCTGGGTGCAGACCCATCCATATTTGCCACTCCTGCGATACCAATGCTATTGTTAGTCTGAGCTGCAGCATTGCCAGCACAGTGAGTACCGTGGCTATTGTCATCAGTAACATCAGGACTGTTGTTTATGAAGTTGTAGCCGATAATATTGTCAGGACCTCTCCAGAACTGATTAACCAGATCAGGATGGGTCATGTCAACACCAGTGTCGCTGATAGCCAACACAACATCCTTCAGCTTCCGTCCGGCTGAGCGAGCCGCTTCAAAAGCAGCGCCTAAATTGATAACCTCGAGGTTACGCTGACATGAAGAGCCTGGGTCGTTTGTGCCGAGAACAGGATTGCCACCAGTGCACGAGGTCCTGTCCGTGGTGAAAGCCGGATGCAGAGTGACCCTCGAGTCGGGCTCGCAATCGAAGTCGATGCTCAACATATGTTCTGCTTTCCTCAAGTAGTTCAGAATTTGATTTTGACCAGCCGGACAACTGGAGTCTATAATTTGTACCCCCAATGCCTTCAAGTCATAGACCATCTCATCTTGTGCGAAGCATCGTTCACAATCAAGATCATCTTGACTGAGAGATTGTACCGTTCCGTCAGAGGCCGCGAGAGCCTGTGCCATCATTCCTGGTACATGACGAATGTCGAGTGGGACTCCACGATGAGATATCCTTAGCAGGGTGCGACTACTAGTGCTCGCACCAAAGCTGATAGTGATGGCGAAGAGAGTCCAGAAGGGGGTAGAGCGCTTTGACATGAAGCTGTTATGTGCAGAAAAGACGAAACTGTGGCATCTCTTGGGTTCACGAATAGTCTTCTCACTGCTCAATCAAGGAAAACCTTGACCAAGAGGTCGATCATTACAGAATGATGATCATGTCAGTGTGATTAAGATATTTAGGAATCATACTCGTTCCACGAGGAATTACAGCCGCTCCTGCAGCTAGCGCTTCAACCGCACGCATGTACCGAAGTCCTTTCAGCGGAAAATACTGTCTACGAGACAATGCGCGAAGCAAAAGAACCTAAGAAAGACCGTAACGCAAGCATGAATACTGACTTAAACTGATACGGAATGAAACTCTTCACGACAGAGGGCATTCGAGCTCGGTGAATTGCTGAATTTGACCAAATGAGAATTTCCCTGTGACTGTTTGGCTTTTAGCCCTATGATCCACTGGATGTACTCCACACGTGCAATCATCTGACCATAGTGTCCCCGTATCATGCGTGTCGGGCCTAAAACCCAGTTTAAATCCTCGGTCGGTATCTCTGCCCTCAAATGAAATTGACACTGCTTATAGCGGAGTTTTTTTCTGTATACTTTTGAATTCTAAGATCAATGTTAGCGACAAATGATCTCCCAGGAGATCGTTCCACGCGCGCCTGGCACGCGTTATCTCGTCCTAGGAAGGGCTCGCAGGCAAGCCGACATAGTGTACTGAGCCAGCGGGGATATTGAGCAAATCTACGTTGTAGTGCCGTGGTCCAGGTAAACCTCATGTATTTTTCTCGCAGTGACAGGCAACTTCTTGACAGTGAGATACTGTAACTAACACAACACTCCAAACATCACACTCAGGAGAGTCGTAGGTCAAGCTGGCCACAATCTCGGGCGGAGCGTAGCAGAGAAAGACCGCAGGTTCGCCGAGTTCTCGCAGAGACAATCTTATCAGCTCCATGCTGAATATCCCACTCCCGGTAACGTATGTTTGGTGGGATGGTTCGGTACGAGCGACCCTAGAAGCATCGAGAAGGGGAAACCACTCGGGGAGACAGAGTCGGAGACACACTCAGCGAGTGTGGCGCCGACAGTGCGTGTCTATACCTCCTCCGGTACGTGCTCCCAGGAGTGGTAGGATTAGGATAAAATACAGGAATCCTTTCTGCCTGTGTCAATTCCATGATATACAGAACGTGGAGCAGATCCACGCGCCTCACGGCTTCGCCTCTGTTGTGCGAGCTGCTGCACTTTTGAAGGCCTATTTCACGTTTAGTACGAGCAATTTCGCAGAACGAGCGATCCTTTACTGCATGCAGTGAAGCACGTGACCATCGGTATTCAACCTAGGTTAACGAGCTTTTCGGTAAAGTCTTTTATAGGTTAGAAAACTAAGCCTTTTGAAATGATGAAGTTGAGGGAATAACATAAGATGGACGGAATCTCTTCAGTGCAGGGAGGGTGGCTATTCAAGCTTTGTCCCACCTAAATCCAGACGATTGACAGTCTCTACTCATGTCCCTACTTCACCAGTTCAAATTTAGATTTCTTTAACATCAGCATTATCCCGCCATTTTTGATGATAGTCGAAGGAATAGCTCCACTTGAGGAGTATTAATTATCTCAGAAAGTTGCACCAAGTGTTGCGGAGCCACGCAAACATCGTTTGATGAGCCCTGGGGAGCCACGCAATTCCTCTTCAAACGTCTCATATGATTTCTCTAGCTACAAGCTCCCCGTCTCCTCGTGTAACGATCTATGCCTCTTCGCATGAGCGAAGTAACGCGCGAGCTCAAACTGGGCCAACCTTCGAGCTCTCGCGTTCGCCTTTCTCCTTCTACAGTCTACACTTATGGCCGGGTTGAATACATGGAACGATGAGTCAGCGAGAAGAGAGAAGATGAAAACAAACCATTCACTGCGCCAGGAAGCTCAGTGTTGCATTCCCTCAGTTACCCCGTGGTCAACCCGGGGTTTAGTGAGCATCAGAGACCACTCAAGTTGAGTGACTCAACTGATTGGGTCAAATGCAGCACAAAATCTACCTTAATACCGTTCTGTAACCAGAGAACAGCTGAGTTTCCTGAGTCGATGCTGTCCGGAGTCGATGCAGATCATTCTGGTGCATCAAAGAGTAATTGACTTCTCAATTACGTGGAAATTTATGAGGCATAAGTGGTTGAGTGGTAAATAGGATGGGTTTTAACATGCATATCTGTGGGTCCGAACCGCGCCTACTTTATGAAGTTTTCGAACTATCGCCCTCTCACTATCATGCCAGTGATGAATCGATTCTCTACGACTACCAATGATTGGGCCCAGCGTGAGATTGACAAGTTGCGGAGGAAGAACACCGAACTGGAAACCCGCGTGAATATGTAATCGATAGACATATTTAAACCAACTCTGCTTCGATTATGAACAATCGAGCTTCGATTCATAGTGGAGAAGATGTACCAATGAACCAACCTGGCATCGATTAAGGCTTTCACATCGAGACAAGGAGGAAGCGATGTTGATCATCAGATTGACCGCTGCTGATCGAGAGGTTAGCGAACTCCATCAAGAAATCGCTATCTTGAAAGGCAACTTGTTGAGCTATCGCCTTAAAAGCGGGTGTCTGAGCACGACTGGTCGAGAGGTTGCAGAGTCTAGGAAGAATGCAACGGAGGGAGAGCTTGCAGAGGTGGGGAATACATTCTCATGCCAGTTCTTGGTCTAGACGACCAAGAACGTCGACGCTCGATATTGAAGCAACAGGGGAAAAAGGTCACCGAAATTCCTCTCACAGGCGAGGGTATCATCATGAAATCTCCCATTGTCACAGTTTGTTCGATGGTTTAGTTGTAGCTCGAGGAAGTATCGTCCGACCAATGCAAAAAGGGCGCAGGAGTAGCCCTCCGAACATCACTGATGAAGCTTCTGCCTTACACGAGGCGATTGAGCTATTCAGACTAAGGAAGGCTGATGAACTGTGTGGCTGACGGATCCTCCTGAATATCAACACTCTCCTATGGCAGATTCACTTTGGAGTCATGTTCGACAATTATGGTGTCCGAGAAGCAGCTTGTCGGTAAGACTAAACAGAGAGGGCACGGTTGAACGACATACGTATAGAAGTGTCTGTTTGGGTTGAACGGGCGATCTCCCACATAGTAGTGACCCGCTCCACCAATTAAGCTGACAAGACTTGAATGTGCTTTTTCATCTCCATCGTTGTATTCGGCACGCTCTCCAAGAAATTATTCGAATACTCTTGTTAGGATCCTCCTCTCGACGCTCCGATATGGGCCATCTAGAAGGAGAAGTTGAGCAACTAAGAAGTCTGAATAGCGCTCT